AGGCACGCAACAGGCATGCAACACAATGCCCAATGTCAATTTCTGTCTCAGTGCTGGGGCAGGCATGGCCGACCCTTGCGTCTGCTTAAGCAGGCGCTTTAATCCACTGAGCTATTTGGCTGCCCTACCTCCTTTATTTAGCTTCCATCATTATCAAATTCTTTGGCAAATAGGTACTGAATAGCTACTATTTACTAAGTACCTAAAGGGTACTGAGTATATTATGGACAAAAAAGTCGTCCCTTGGTTCATGAACTTAATTTGTTCCACAGTTTTGGTGTTTTTTATTATTGTTTTTTTGGATAGGGTCTCACTTTGTAGTGCAGGCTTGCCTTAAGCTCACTATGTAGTAGTTCAGGCTGGTCTTAAACTTGTGGTGATCCTCCTGCCTCAGCCTTCCAAGTGCTGAGAGTAGAGATGTGCACTACTATGTCTGGGTATTGCAGAGTTTTGGAAAAGATGCCCACATTTGTGTTTGTGTGGGAAAGATAGTCATGTTTGTCATCCCGTGTAGAGTTTACCAAAAAAAAGGCAGAATTTTTCCCAAATGCTTTTGTTTACAAACCAGACTGGCAGAGCTGAGGTTTTAAAATCCATTCTGTTTGTGTTGACCCTAGGGGAAAGGGACCATGGTGACTACCAGCATGAATTTTTTTTTTTTCTGTTCTCGGTAATTCATCCTAGGCTGGGGGCCTGCCCATTAGCTCAGTTGTTTAAAATGCCTGCTTAACCAGAGCAGTGAGGCTCATGATACTGGTTTGATCCCCAGGTCCTCAAGCCTTACCAGACCTGCCCTTAAGGCATCCTGAGGTAGCCAAAAAAATAAAAAATAAAAATCCATCCCATCCGAGGCTACTTGCATCTTGTTGGCATTCCAGAACAGAGTAGACAGAAGCCAGTCTCTCAGGGTAGAACTCAGAAAAGTTAGATCATCGAACATTAGTAAGCTTTTCACTCTCCAGAGAGAGGATGGGAACAAGAGGATTTTCTCTTGGAGAGTAGGGTACTACTATGTAGGGGATAGGTATTGTGACTAGAGGTTGCCTGAAATCTCCATGTGCCTGACTTTACAGATGCCAGAACCTCCCGACTAGTTTTTGGATTTTTCACGAAGAGGTCTGTCTGTCTGGCAGGTCACAATATGTGCGCACCACTATGCCCAGTCTCTGTCATTGTCTCAGTGTGCCCTGGGGGCAGGGCTGGCACAGCATGCCAGGGATTGAAACCTGGTCCCTGTGTCTGCCTAAATCCTCATTGGTTTCTGTATCCCTGGTTGCTTTCTATTCTTGAGTTTCTTTGCAGATATTTGGTTGTGTTCTTGTCTTATCTTCATGTATCCTGCTCTCTTTGACCTACAACATTTTTTCTTTTGTATTGTTATTCCATTGTGGTAACTGTGTTTTTTCAGGCTTTGTTCTAAAGCCTTCTCTGACTTCTCAAATTCTTTTTTTCAGAATGTAGTTTATTTTTGTATATATTGTTTTTAGGTTATGAGTTCTGAGACAAAGACCCTGGAAATAATGCTTAATAATAAATACTAAATATTTGGATGGCTGGAACTCCTGTTTGTTTTTGCTCCCCAGAGGAGTTCATCTTGTAACTGTGACTGTCTTCCCCTAGTCTGTACTAGAGCCCGTTCCTCTGTTCAGAGATAATGTAGAGGGCTAGGGTACAGTGCTTTCCTAGTATTTGTTCAGCCCTGGGTTTAGTTTTTAGCATGGGGGCGGGGTTTGGGGGGTATAGAGAGGTTTTCCTTACAATATTGGTTCAGTAATAGTAGGAGGGAAGGAGGAATTAATGAATTGCTATGTTGAAGAGATCGTGTAAAATGAGGAGCAACAGGAGGCCTATGAACTTTAGCCAAAAAGAAAGAAAAATCAGGTGGAGGTAATTTCACACTCTCAAGTACTTGAATGGTTGTCTTGTGGAAAATTCTTCACCATAATCAGTTTGTCTCCAGTGGTGCAGTTCTGCGTCAGCCCTTAGGTATATTAGAGCTGACTGGATAAGGAATTTTTCATGAGGAGAGCTGTGAAAATAAAGGCAGAATGGCTAGTGGTTTAAAGTACTATGAACTATATTTTGTATCTTAAGCAAAATTGGACTAAATGAATGTCCTGTAGAGTTGAAATGTTTTTTACTTAGATCTAAGTTCCATGATCATGAATTTCAGAGAAATACTTGTTTTGGGTTAACATGCTTACAATGGGGCCATGTGTTTATCTCACTATAGGTTGCTCTGATTTGAATTGGATTGTTTTCACCAGCTTGAGCCACTTGTGGTACATGTATGACTGTCCTGTCAAGCTGTTTGTACCGCTGCTCAGTGGGTCTTCACTTACAGTAATGCAAAGGTATTGATTTGGGAGACCAGGTTTCATTATATAGTTCCTTAAGGAAAATATTAAAATGGCATAAAATTATAATACTAGCTAATACTAGCTAATTTATGTAAAGCAGTTATAAATGGATATTGTATATACCAGCAGTGGGGGGGGGTATTTATAAGGTTGCCATATTGTTTGCTTTTTGAGACAGACTCGTTTCTGAATAGTTCAGTGTGGCCTTGAACTCACAAACTCACTGAGCAGTCCTGTCCTAGCCTCCCAAGTGCTAGGATTAGAGGTATTTGTCACCATGCCTGGCCCATGCCATGTTATAATTTAGGGAATTGATTATTGATAAAGCATTCATGAACGTAAATAAATTTTTTATTTAATGAAATTTATTGATTATTGTAATTTTAAGCTGGTATGAATAGTAACATATTTATATTTGCACAGTGATTATTTAAATTTAAGCGACTAACTAGATTTTGTCCATTTATAGACATCTTACCAACTTGGTCAGTGAAAAGACCAATAAAAGTGATTACAGTAGGTCCATTTGTATACTTGATAATTAAAGTCGATGGGAGCATGTTAAGACGGTCTTACTAAACGTTGAATAGTTACAAACTTTTGACTTTACGCTGTATATTCCAGCTGTTGAGTATTCAGCAATCAGTGGTAGTCATAGTCTTTTACTGTCAAATAGTTATAAGTGGAGAAGTTCTTGAACTTTTCCTGTATTATAATTTAACAATTCCTGACATCAGTTTTGTGCTTCATGTACTGTCTTAATCCATTTGACTTATGACAGTGCTTTAGACTGAGTAGTACTTGAGGAACAGAAACTTTCTGCTTACAGTTCTATGAGCTTGAAAGTTCAAGATCTAAGCACCAGCAAATTCATTATTTGATGAGGGTCTGCTTCTTGTGGATGTCACATTCTGTGTGTCTTTTTATGGTAGAAGAGCAAAGTAGCTCCCTTAAATGTATTTTAAAATGGCACTCTAATCCCTTATGACTGTCAGTTCCCATTGAATTTTTTAGGGAAGCTTAAACTTCGCCTCTGAAGGTTCACTACATGGAATTTCTGAAATAAACCAACAGTAGGCAAATTAAGGGGACAAAAGCATGCAAGTTTATTATATACAGGAACCATGTAAAGCAGGTACCATCACCTGAGCCAAAGAGAGGGTGAAGCTTCATCTCTATTTTTGGCCAGTTCCCATTGCTTGCATTATCACTTGAGCCCTACCAATTGTCAGATTAGTCATGGCATTAGATTTTCTTAAGAGTGAAAATCCTATTATGTATGACAACAATACAGGTTTTATGCTCTTTATGAGAGTCTAATGCCAGATGAACTGAGATGGAGCTGAGGCAGTGATGCTAATGGTAGGAAATTAATTTTTATCTATCACAAATATATACTAGGGCTGGCGAGATAGCTCAGTGGACTAAGTGCTTAGTCAAGTGCAGGAACTGGGATATGATCCCTGACACCACATGCTGTGCCAGTCCTGCCCTAGGTATGCTGAGCCGGCCACTCATACCAGGCGTGTTGGCGCACACCTGTAATCCCACTGCTGGAGAGGCTGAAAACAGGATTACTATGAGTCTGAGCTGCATAGTGAGATCCTGTACCAAATACATTTAAAAAAAAAAAAAAAAAAAAAGTCCACTAAACTTAGCTCCTACCCACGTCTGTAAAAAAATTGTCTTAATTAAGTCCCTAGTGCCAAAAGGATTGGAGACCACATGGGACTTAAGGGAAAGGCCAGATGGTTGACACTTAACTACACTTTCCTTAGGGTAAGGTGAAATAGGGAGCTATAGGCAGTTGTAGAGGGGTAGTAACTAATACTTTAGGGAGAGACAGTGAGGCTGTATAGACAAGGGTCGGGAAGAAAAGTTCTTGGATATAGGTATGGTGACAGATTTTAGACTTTTCTAAAAGTCATAAGAGTTTATTTCTTGGTTAATGAAACTTTTGTAAGAATACTTGAAATACAGTAGTCCCTTGCTATTTTGTAGACTCACTATTTCGTGAGTTTTTAAAAAGTATTAATCAAAGTTATTTATCATGGATTTTTCACTATATATGGGATTTTGCAGTACTGTACAGTATGCATGTTGTTAAAATTAAGAGTTTATTATAGAAAATGGTTAACATTAGAAGTGTTTTTAAAAGTGTAGGAAAGATTTACAAGGGTGGAGTTTGTAAAGCCTTAAAAGATATTAAAAAATACTAAAATAAATATAATGTCATTACACTGATTTACACTTATTGTGGGGATACCTGGAATATAATCTCTTCAGTAAGTGAGGGACCACTGTAGTTAGGTTTTTCTTTGATAGAACTAGTCTTTAGATAGATAAAGGAAACTTAGAGAAAGCCTATGTTTGCTGCTTTATTGATGTTCATAGTTTAAAATTCAAAGCGTGGAGCTGGGGAGATGGCTCAGTAGAATAAGCGCTTCCCTGGCAAGCACAAGGGCCTGAGGTCAATCCACAGTTCCACAAAAAAAAAAAAAAAAAAAAAAGGTATATTTTGACATAATGTTTTCTGAGGTGCAGAGGGTGGAATGTCAATTTTGGGGCTATGTATATATTCAGACTATAGCATTTCTCTTTCAAATATTAATATTATTTTTGCCTTGTTTTTATTCCTAGCAATGTCTCAGGCTGTACAGACAAATGGAACTCAACCATTAAGCAAAACATGGGAACTGAGCCTGTACGAATTACAACGAACACCTCAGGTAATAGATTAAAATAACATTGGAAATATGAGGCATATATGAACTGAAATCCAATTTTAGAAAATGAAAATTTAAGTGACACTTCATTATTTATTTCAACAAATATTTTTTGTATATTCCATACAAACCTTTCTGTTAGGCATTGGAGGAGGAACAGTGGTGAATAAAACAGATGGGACTTTAGCCCATGAAGTTTATAGACATTAAACAAATAAATATTCATAAAACCACACAATGTTGAGAAGTAGTCTGTAAGAAGTAATAATGAGTCAAGTAGGGAAGACTATTTTGAAGAAATGGATGGCATAAACTAGAGAAGTTTGAAGGCAAACATGCTTAAAACTGGAATCATTTTAAGCTTGAGAATCCTGGAAAAGTAAGCAGGCAGAGATGCTAATAAGAGTCTGGGCTAACTATAAAATTGTAGGTGTTGTTAACATATCTTAAACAATGGTAATGAATATGACCGCTAGAGAACTGGAATGGATCCTGAAACTTCTAAGTGCTTCATTGTTTAGAAATTAGGTAATGGACAAAGTAAATGGAACCAGTGAAAGAGATGGAGAAAAACAGGAGATTTTGTGCTGAGGGATTTGGAATCTAAAAGAGCGTTTCAAGGAGGAGGATAGAGTTAGTGTGTTCAAAAGTGCTCATAGGCTGAAACAAAGATTAGAAAATATTTATTAGATTTGATGTGTATATTCAGTTATCTTTTTTTTGTGTGTGTGTATTTGGTACAGGGTCTCACTATACAGCTTAAATTTGTAGTGACCCTCTTGTTTTCAGCCTCCCTAGCACTGAGATTATAGGGGTACACCACCACTCCTGGTCTTGGTCGCATGCCTGAGAGTGGGACCGGCATGGCATGTGGTGCTGGGGATCCAACCGTGGCCCCTATGCTTGCCTAAACAGGTGCTTAGCTGCTGAGCTATCTTCTGGCCCTTACACTCATTTATCTTAAGAGGAAATTTAGTCCGCTGAGCTGTCTTCTGGCCCTTACACTCATTTATCTTAAGAGCAAATTTACTTGAGTAAATTATACTAGGTTAAAAATTAAAGAGTCATGATGTGTTTTCATCATTGGTTCATATTATGAACCAAGGAAATGATAATTGTGTGTAATGGAGAAAAATGAAAAAAAGAATATAGGGAATTCTACAGAGAAGTTTGGCTGCACAGGGGAGCAGAGAAATAGCAAAAACCTGGAGGTAAATATGGAATTGAGAAGCTTCTTGTTCTGTGTATGAGCGCACCTTTTTCCCTGTACCTTGCATGTTGCAGTGCTCAATAATCTCAGTGAGATATTAATACCTTTTTTTTTTTTTTGTGGAACTGGGGATTGAACTCAGGCCCTTGCGCTTGTCAGGGCATCGCTTATTCCACTGAGCCATCTCCCTGCCCCCCTCCTTTTTTTATACTAATATCTTAAACTGACAACAGAGAAGGAAAAATTGCTAAAACTTGAAAGCAAATAAAATCAAAAGAGGGATTTCTTCAGGGAGGAGCTAAGAAATGTACGTTTGATAGGAAGAGGTATAGTTTCTCCTTGAAACAAACAGAAAGCTATTTTAATTTGCTGTAAATGAAGAAGCCCTCAGTGAAATATAGTATGAGGTAATCTGTGGCAGGTAGTAAAAGGCTTACAAAGAGAAGAACAGGCATACAGTAGGGTAGGGGAAAAGTGAATTTATTATATTAACCAGTTGCTGAGCAGTATCTTAATACCCATTTTAAGGCTGGTGAAATTTTTGGTGATGCCAATCTGATTTCCCTTTTCCCACATAATCCTACACATCTATATAAACAGGGTTCTTTAGCAACAGAGATGATTGGTTTAGCCAGGATTGGATTTTGTTAGAAATCCAAATGGGTTATCATCATTGCTGATTGGTAAATTTCTTCACCTATAAAATAGATAATATAAATCCTAAATCATAAAGGTCTGCATGTTAGAATTTTAAATGTTCCCAACACAGAGGAAAAAATAAATGACTTGGGTGATATAACAGTATGTTGTACACATTTATTAAAATGTCACGTACCTGACAATGTTAAGCCATGCAGTTATATGTAAAAGATGAGCAAGGCAATGATCCGGAGAATATTCAGAAGATTCTTTAATCTAGGAGTTAATTGGAA